CCCCCAAGGGACCACTTTCAATGTTCCCACCCAGCTCCCTAAGAAGATGGAGGACGCTGGATGGGAATGGGGCTCCTCTTTTCGAGGGCCCCCACCAGAGCAGCCAGGCCCTGGAGAGCCTCGGTCATCCGGTCTAACGTCCGAAGAACCTCGGTGTCCAGGGCCTGCTGCGGCGCCACGGGGGAGATGAGGCGGAAACCCCGAGTCTCCCCGCCGCGCGCCTCTTGGCCCAGAGGGGGACCAGACCCGGCTAACCGGGTGGCCACACCCCCGATGGAGCCCAGAGTTGGAGAGACGCTACGCAAATATTTATTTGCGCTTCGCGTCTTCTCCAGCTCTGCGGAAAGCCGCTCCACCTCCTCCCTGAGCAAGCGATTCTCGCTGGCCAGGGACGAGACCTTGCTGGGATCCGAAGACGATCCCATCCGTCCCGCGGCGGTCCGGTAAGGCATAAGGCATAAATAGCCTCCCGGAGAAGGTAGTGTTTCACCTTCATCCGCCGCGAGACGGATCCCTGGAGAGAGGAGGAGGAATTTCGGTCCTTCTCCAACTCGTGCAGCCATTGAGTAGCGTGCGACGACACCTCGGAGGATGCCATGTGCTCTATTTGACGAGCGAAATGCTCGAACTCCCGGCGCTGGTCGCTGGTCATGTTAGCGACCGGGAGCGAGCCCACCCTATCCTCATCCGAGGATATATCCTCCTCCACCACAAGGCGGCGTGTAACGGAGAGGTGCGGAACCTTCCTCCTAACACCCATCGCCTTGGGTAGAGGATCCCCACTGACCCGCGCCCTCTCGATCTCTAAGACCGTCGGGGACGCGGGTCGCAAAGGGGCCGACCCGTCTTTGCGGGTATGACCCCTGTTCCTCTTTAAGGGCCTGGAGGGGCCGAGGTCCGAATCGGACTCCATAGTCGGAGCCCTGAGCCCACTAGAGCCAGGGACTCCGACGACGGCAATCGGGGGACGGACCACCTCAACCGAGGTGACCGAAGGCCCGACAACGGCGGGACCGGCGCTGCCCCGCCGGATGATGCCCCCCCTCCAGAAACCGAGGGAGGGGTATCAGAAGCCGCATCCACCCTGGGTCCCAAGCAGACCACAGGTGTGGAGGACTCATCCGCCCCTCCCCTAACCCTCTCAGGAGTATACAGGGGCCCGAAAGCCGCTGGATCCTCCTCGTACTCCGAGATCCAGTCGAGGACGGAGCCCGACGGAGCTCGTCGTCCCAACCTGGGACGCAAACAAACGCCCCAGATGACGTGAGACGCTCGCGGAATCCCGGGACGTCAGAGGTCAACCCCACGAGCGTACCCGGAATATCACGCCTGAAGACGATCCGGCTGCCAAGGCGTCTCCGAACCGTCTCCCTAATTATACCCCTACGGAACTAGGTGCGCCGTGTTACCACGGCCCCAGGAGGAATCCGTGGAATGCGACCCAGTCCAACGGCACAAGGCCTGAGCCTTGTATCCTGGAGCGAAGCTCCACAAGGCTCATACAAGCCTTCTCGTGCGATAGCCAATGGGCTAGCGAAGCTCGCCGACAACTCCGCTATCCGCCCATCGTAAGATGACGACGTGGGGGA